AAAGAAAGAAATCACCCACCGTCAACAACATCGACTAAAACCAAATTAAACAAATATGTTGGGAGCATCACACCATCTGGTGGCTCTCAACAAAACCAAATTGAACAATGTTGATCACTTCGAATTTCTTGGGAGCACCATCCCATCGTCTCCCAAAAGCCAACCCCCGTCCATGTCGTGAGGTAGAAACAGAACAAAGTATGGGATTGCTGGGTAGAGTAAAGTACGTTGTGGCTAATGTCATTGAGACTCTACGCTGGCCAAGAAGGTCAACCCGAGTCACCTCAAAAACGTTGCTGGCCAGCAAGGTTCTGGTGAAACTGTGACAGGCCTAGCAAGTTGTCGGAGGATTTTTCTTATACTAGAAACAAACCAAAGGAAATACGGACTTACCAAAACGGCAAGGACCAAGGAAATGTTTGAGGACAACGACAAAGGAGAACGACAACAATTAGAACGTGGAACGTAAGTGGATTGATAGACAATGAACTTCAAATTGTTGAGTTTATAAGAAAGAGTAAGACAGACCTGATGGTAGTATCAGTAATAAGAAAGAAGGAATCAAAATACAAAGAAACCCAAGTAAATTATCTACTTCTCTGGACTGGATCACCCGCAAAAGAGAGGTCTAAACATGGAGTGGATTTTATAATGAAACCAGAAATAGCGAAATGCATCATAGATACCGAACATATATCAGAAAGTATCATGAGCATCAGGCTACAAGAAGACAACCAGACTTACGCTCCAGGCAATGGCAGCTACTCATAAGAGAAAAGACAAGGGTTCTTTGAACAACTCAGCAACCAGATCAATAAAGTAAAACACATGGGCGACTTTAGTGGAAAAGTAGGTACAAGAAGATCCCCTTGGAATGATCACCTAGGACCCCACAGTGACCACGACACAGAGTGCAACAGTAACGCTGAAAGACTGTTTAACCTGTACTACGAATTCAACTTCTTAATAACAGCACTTTCTTTAGACAAATGAAAAGCCATACAAAAACTTGGTACAAATTGAACGCTCTTGAAACCTCCTCACAAACAGAATTCATACTGGCACATAAAAGGACAAGAAGTACCATCAGGTACTCTGTGGCTATACCAGCCCATTTCATAGACACAGACCACAGGCCAATCATCCCCAGCATAACAGGAAGACATATAGAAGAACTTAAAGGAAAACGCGTAAGGCTATCAAAATAAAGAACTTTGCTGACTGTACCATTCAGGCAGAAATGCAGGAAACCATGAGAGAAGAATACGCAAAGCTACTATTAAAAGCCAGGTGCATCGAAGAGGAAAGGCAGAGCTTCAAAAATATCCTAAAAGAAACACTGGGAAAAAAGTGTTGCATAAAACGCCAAGGAACAATGTGGTGGAATTAAACAACTAAAGAAGCCACAAAGCTGAAGAAAGAACTCTACAAGAAATGGCTAAAGACAACTGGGGTAGGAAAAAGACTACATTGAATACTGAAAGACAGGAAGAGAGACAAAGAGAGTAATAAAATCAGCAAAGTATATCTCATGGAAGAACTATGAAGATCAACTGACTAACCTGTGTAGGAACAACCCACGGGAATTCTGCAAAAGTGCCCGGTCCATGAGACTAAGGGATGAGTCCTATAACCCGATAAACACAATAAATCCCAAGAGCGCAAACGTTATTACAAACAAAGCTAAAATCAAGCAGAGATGGCTGAAGCACTTCCAAGATTACTGCTGAACTCTGTTGGAAACAAAGAAAGACACGGAAGGACATCTGAAACGCTGACAAATAATGAGCCACCTTTCTTCACCAGCGAAGCGGGAAAAGCTCTGAAAAAGAGCCCACAGAACAAATCTCCTCGTCCAGAAACCACCACTGAAACAATTACGGCTTGCTGAGACAACGGCACGCTGTGGCTCATTCATGTCCCCAACGCAGCACGGGAACAAACACGATGCCCTGAAGACTGGGAAAACAGTATTGTAGTACATATTATATTTGGAAAAAGAAGGGCAGCAAAAAAGAGTGTGGCACAAACAGAGTAATATCACTACTTAGTCATGTTGGAAAGATTGCCAAAATCCTTGAGCATAGAGTAAGACACATAGTAGTGGCAAATCTGAGTAACATGAAGTTTGGATTTAGAAAGGGAAAGGGATGCACAGACGCCATCTTCGCACTGAGACAGATATGTAAAAGAGCTATTGGACGCAGCAGAGACCTGAACATAGTGGTCGTGGATCGAATCGGCAGGGGCCGGCAGTCTATGGCAGACTTTGAAAGAATATGGAGCGAAAGAACTATTTCTTAACAATATAGTATAAAACGAAAATAGTCGGAGTTACGTTAGAAATAGTGAGGGAAATATTGTCTGGTTCAAAGTGCCATGAAGTATTCGACAAGGCTGCGTCCTGTCACTATTACTCTTCATAGTCAACATGGACAAGAAAATACAAGAAGCAAACGACAACTCAGAACAACTCAACAAACTGCTCCTCGCTGGCGATCAGAGCCTCATACACCAAGACCAGGACAGCCTGCAAGAACATACCACTAAAATGATCAAGGCATGTGAGAAATTTAGAATGAAAATGAACACAACAAAGACAGAAGAAATGAAGATCTCCACAAACCAAATCCCATTAATCCAAGTCAACAACACACAACTGAAAGAAGTACGGGGATTTAAATGTCTTGAACAGTAGACGGATAAATGGAAGGGGGAATTGAAATAAGAGAACAAAAGGTGAATGCGGTCACATACCAACTAGCACCCATCCTCTCCTATCAAAACATCCCAATGGTGACCAAGAACAAACTAATCAGATCAATCGCTATGCCGACTCTGTTGTCAGTGCCAAACCTGGATTCTCAACAAAATACAGCAACATAGAATAACAGCACGGGAAATGAAATGTCTCCAAAAATCACTATACATCCCAAGAAGAGACAGATAAAGAAACAAAGACATCAGGCATCGGGTAGACGT